TGGTCTACACCAGCACTAACTATAAGATTTATCAAAAAGGAACGTTTTAAGTCTATTCTTAAAAATACAGACTGTGTCTGCCTCCCGGACCCCGGCTGGAAGACGATTCCAGAGGAGAGGAGCCCGATAACTGAAGGCTTTACCCCCCATGGTACACTTAGAGACTGTAGGTACCACCAGCAGGCCTGCACTCCAGGACCGCAACGCTCTCGAGGGACAATACGGCACTAGCTCCTTAAGATAAGATGGTGCCTGGCCATTTAGAGCTTTGTAGGTGAGAAGAAGGATCTTGAATTCTATTCTAGACTGTATAGGGAGCCAGTGCAGAGAAGCCAGGACAGGAGTGATATGGTCCGATTTCCTGGTTCTGGTCAGTACACGAGCTGCAGCGTTCTGGACCAGTTGAAGAGTCTTTAGAGACTTGCCAGAGCACCCTGACAAAAGAGAGTTACGATAATCCAGTCTGGAGGTAACAAATGCATGAACTAGTTTTTCTGCATCATTTTGCGACAGGATATTCCTGATCTTGGATATATTACAAAGGTGAAAATAGGCTGTTCTTGAAACTTGTCTGATGTGAGAGCTAAAAGTCCTAGATTCCTAACAGTGGTGCTAGATGTCAGGCTGATGTCACTAAGGACAGTCAAATCACTAGAAAAAGTCTCTCTGAGGTTCTTAGGGCCTAGCACAATAACTTCAGTCTTGTCTGAGTTAAGTAGCAAAACATTTCTGGTCATCCAGGTCCTAACGTCCTTAAGGCACGTTTCTAGCTGACATAACTGACTGGTGCCATCGGGCTTCATTGATACATAAAGCTGAGTATCATCTGCATAACAATGAAACTGTATGGAGTGTTTCCTCATAATATTTCCCAGAGGAAGCATATATAATGTAAAGAGAATTGGTCCAAGCACTGAACCTTGTGGGACTCCATGGCAAACTTTAGTGTGCATAGAGGACTCATCATTAACATGTACAAACTGAGATCGGTCTGATAAGTAGGATTCAAACCAACTTAAAGCAGTCCCTGTAATTCCAAGCAAATGCTCCAGTCTGTACAACAGGATCCGATGGTCAATGGTGTCAAAGGCAGCACTAAGATCTAACAAGACGAGAACAGACAGAAGTCCCCTGTCTAAAGCTAGAAGTAGATCGTTTGTAACTCTAGTAGCTAGTAACTAGTGCAGTCTCAGTGCTATGGTGGACTCTAAATCCTGACTGAAACTCCTCAAATAAACTGTTGTCATGGAGAAAGTCACACAGCTGTTTAGCAACCACCTTCTCCAGGATTTTCGAGAAAAAAGGAAGGTTGGATATAGGCCTGTAGTTAGACAGAGTTCCTGAATCTAGAGTAGGTTTTTTAAGTAGAGGTTTGATTACCGCTACTTTAAATGCCTGGGGTACATAGCCTGCCAGTAAAGACGAATTGATCATAACTAATATAGAGTTGCTAACTAAGGGAAAAACTTCCTTAAACAGCTTGGTTGGGATTGGGTCCAAAAGACAGGTTGACGGTTTCAACGCAGAAAAAATGGAATATAGCTCAAGTCCCAAGTCCCAGGCCCAAGTCCATTGTTTGACTGTCCTAAGCCTGCATGGCCCAACAATACAAACCTCTGGATAGGGAGCAACTGAGCAAAAAAATTGCCTACAATACTGGCAATAAAAGTTTTACTAACCACTTCGACAAATCGTCCATTGACGTTTCTTTGACGCTTTGATATATGTTGGAGTCAGAGTGACTGCAGGATTTGGCTTTTGTTTTTTTGAATGGTATTAATGGTTGAAATCTTTTGTGAGAATGGCTTGTTTTATTCTTGATTTTAAAAAATGTCACATAAACATAAACCTCGAAACCTACTTGATTTCATAAAAAGTATTTTAATATAAGCAAACTATCGATTGCCCTCATGTGATGGCGAATAAGATGTCAAGTCAGGTACCACATTTTTTCTCCAGTTTCCGAGTTGTTGTTCTAACTTGAGTAGGCATTCATTTGCATTTTCCTACTCGGAAACTCATTTTTCCGATGTGTCAGATACCAAATGATTGCAGGATTAGAGCTATTTGTGTTAAATCATTTATAATGAAGGCAGCCTGAGGGGTAAATGTATCATGATTTGAAGAAAAGTAAGTGCACACTTTTCATGTTTTGTTGGTCAAGTTTAGCCAGCAGATTTGTATTCATTGTTCATGAGACTGCAATTCTTATCATTTTAAACCATATATCTACACTTTATATTAATTTGTTTGATACACTTCTTCCCTTGGCATTTTTGCTTGTACCAGTATTCCTTCATGAATATTAGAATAGCAACCCTGCCACAGACCATTACACTAATCAAAAACACTCTGATTTTTTTCTTTTTAATTATAATTGTCAAGTTACTTTAGTAAGACGGGAGCCCGTTGATAATTGGGACTCCTGAGTCTGATGAACTGCCACCAGCTGTACTGGGTTTAGCTTGGTGCCTTGATTGCATCCTGCATAGAGACATGAAAAAAAAGACATCCTGTTGCTTTAGAAAAGGCATAAGGAAATTATAAGGTTACAAAGTCTTATGGGCTTTTATGATATGATAATGATCAAAGAGAGGCAGCAGTTTTTGTCAGTAGAGAAGGTTCTGGAGACAGAGCCTCTGTGTGAAGTTTGCATGTTCTCCCGTGCATGTGTGGGTTCCTCCGGGTACTCCAGCTTTCTCCCAAAGTCCAAAAACTTGCTTATTGGGTTAAATTGTTGACTTTAAATTGTCTGTAGGTGTGACTGTGAGTGTGACTGGTTGTTTTTGTTCTGCCTGTGATTGACTGGCGAGGCGTACCTTGCTTCTGACCTAATGACAGCTGGGATCAGATCCAGACCCACGACCAGGGAATAAGTGGTATAGATAATTAGTGGATGGATGGAAATACAGGCATAATACAATCAAAAGAGAATAGTGAAGCAAGCTACACGTTCTCTTTCTGTGCCGGCTGATAACAGAAGTCTTGCACTGTGTCAGGACCAACACACTCACTGTATTTTATCTCAGCTGCTTTCCATCCGTCCCAGCTGCCTTCCTTCCGTCCCAGCTGGTGCCCTATGCAGAGCTTCACACACGAGGGCCAGCTGTGTTCTACCTGCTCCATTTCACAAATCTGGGCAACACAACTTGTTGTGATTTGTTAGGATAACCTAGTTACAAACAGATAATTAAAAAAAACCCCATCAAAATCATTTATAAGGAAACTAAGAATTCAAGGAGGAATGGAGGTCAGAATGCTAAAAAGAAATGGCTAGGTGAGGAAGACTTGCATGGGATTCTTAAGGAAGCTAACTCTGGGTGTTGGGTGGTTGAGATTAACAGTGATGTCAGGAAACAGGATACCATGCCTTCCTTTGTCTTCTTTTAAAATGCAGAGGCAAGGCTAAGGTTACTTCCGGATTTCTGGTTGGGTCCTCAAACACTTCTTTGAAGGCGAGATGACTTTTGGCTAGCAGACAAGGAGACCAGTGTAGTGCTCAGTCTCTCCAGGATATAATGATACACTCAGAGTAACATTGAAAGACTGCAGTGTGCACAAGGCTGTGTAGCTTGTTAGTTAGCTAACACGAAATGTAGGCTACTTATAAACTTGTTTTGCCGCAGTAAATGTCATCAATATATTCACATAACACTTATATATAAGTGTTATGTGAATATATTATGTGTGTGTATATATATATATATATATATATATATATATATATATATATATATATATATATACACCAGATATTACAACACCTGTATTAACAGTATAAACACTAAAACAACAACAAAAAATACATTTCTTGTGATGTCTATACATGTTTGCCTTTGTCTTGATGTAGGTGGCTCCCCTTGGCATATCTGTACACAGTATACAGTGTGGCTGGGATATCACTGGAAAGTAACAAATATATATACACACGCATATATGTAAATATCCAAATTATTAAAGTCACCGTCACACCAACAGATTGTCATATGTTAATCAAAGTACAGCTTGAGAAGGTCACTGTCAATTAAAACTGAAACCCCTATAGACACCTAGAATTATCACATCTTTAGGACAAGTTAACATGTTATAAAAGTTCACAGAAGAGCTAAACAATCATTCAATATGTCTTCACTCAAATTTCCCTTTTTCCTCAACTTTTAAACTTTAGTTAAACTAATTCAAGTTAATTGATTGACTTATTATTTCAAATATGGATATGGATATGTGGAATAGAACTGAACTACTCTTCATTAAGATTAAGATTTACTTTATTGATCCTGACGCCCGAATTTCCCCTCTGGGGATCAATAAAGTATTATCCTATCCTATCCTATTCTATCCCGCAAGGGGAAATTCTGTTTTTACACTCTGTAAGTCATGCAAAACACACATAGGCTGAAATATACACACATGCACAAACAGGATCCTATGGACATGCACTAATAGAGAGATGCCAGAGTGACGGAGCTCCTGAGGTGGGAAGCGGGTTTGGTGCCTTGCTCAAGGGCTTTTTGTAAAGTGTCTCGAGATAACACTTGTTATGAATTTGCTATAAAAATAAAGATTGATTGATGATCAGTTATTGCTCAGACACAACATACAGAGTCATTTTAATCCATCCATCAAAGCTTTTATGACAACAAACAAGGAGAGACCCAAAGATGAAACTCCAGTTAGAAAAAAAATAATATACTGTATATACTCACACATATTTAAATGTCCCCCTTTTTTATGGGATGTCCAAGGCACATAATACACAAATCAAGAAATTTCAATAGAGCAGTCTACTGACTATGATATGTGATTAATATGTGATTTATTAAAAAAATGAAAGAGTGTGTGATTGTGTCTCTTATTGTGGTAACTTGATAATCTGGAGTAATGTTTTTTTGTCTCTATTTTTTTCGCAGACATTAAAGATCTGTATTATAGCATTTGAAAAAAAGTTATTTGAAAATCTTTGTTCACACTGTAAGTGCGTTCTGTCCTCTGCTCTGTAGATGTATCTGTGAGCCTGTTGTCCTTGCTGGTGACCACCTGTGGTCTGGCTCTCTTCAGCGTCTCAGTCTTTGTGTCATGGAAGTTGTGCTGGGTGCCACTGAGTGGCCGCTTTCTCCCAGATGTCCTCAAGGGGGCTCACTTCCTGGGAGGAGACCAACAACCAGTCCTAACAGAGGTATCTTTAATGCATTAGAATTTTGAGAGAGGAATCTGAAACAGATATGTGTTGAAATTGTAAAAAAAGTGTAATCAGCCACGTAACGCAAACATGTGAGGCCCCCCCCTGCAGCCTGTCCTCCAGTCCACAGATGAGCCTTCCAAGGATACAAACCTCCAGAGTCAGTTAATGTGAGAGAGATCTTACATTTCCTGTAACACAGTACAGATGGTTTGTACTGTCGGCTGTTAACGAGTGGATCAATGGAGCCTTGGCTGAATGGGTCTTTTCCAATATTGATGAAATGCAACATCAATATTCCCACAAGTTGTATTGTCTTTTATATGAGTAAAAAGAAGTGAAATAAAGTTTAAAAATAAACAAAAACAAAAAAAATAACCAAGACCAATGAAAGGGGGCCAGAGCTGCTGTAACAAGCTGACATCCATGTCTGATGTCACGGTGCGCCAATTTCCGATGGAACAATTTGTTTTTTGAGGGCATGTCACAGGCAAACTTTCTGTAAATAGATTTGGTTTGCAGAAGCAGCTTAGCACTAGAACACCACAGCCTGTTGCCAATTGAGGTGTATACATGCAGTGGTATATCAACCTCAAACCTCATTATCAACGTGTGTTAGTTAGATTTCAAGAAATCTGAGTAAGCATAAATTTTTAGTAAGACTAATGCAATAAAATTGTTTTTATCCGTTTTCTTATTACAATTTTTTAAGATCTGCAATTTAATTTTTAGTTGCAAAGTTTTGCATTTTCACTGTAGGTTTCACTTACACCCTAAACACCAATGTCTGATGTGCAGGTGGATGGAGATGAAAGGGAGTACAGTGAAGATGGTTGTGTGAAGGAGCCCATTGGGCCACCCCCATCTATTGCTGTACCAGAGTCGGCCCTGAAGATTAGCCACACATCGCCTGATATCCCGCTGGAGGCTCAGGCCAAGTTGGAGATAAACCAGAGCCACACTCTGGCCAGGGACAGGGTTCAAAGGCAAATTACTGAGCCCACCTCCTCTGTACGGTCAGTAAAGATATCCTCACAACTACCGTCATGCTTTTGTGTAGCAGGTCAAACATCAATTAAAACAGAAATATAGAAATTATATTCAATTAGAACTCTAAATTTAGAGTTCCTTTACCACAGTTTGGACCACATACGTATTAAGATTATGGTCAGTAAAAATGATTTGAATAAACTTGTATCTCCAAATTCTACTTTTTGGCAGGCACAACTCCCTTCGTCGTCAGTTGAACTTGTCGAATCCAGACTTCAATCCTGCTCAGTTCCAGCGTCAGGAGTCTCTCTCTGGTTTGGGCAGAATCAAACCAGAACTCTACAAGCAGCGCTCTGTGGATGCTGAAGACGGTCATCACTCTGACAGCTGTGGGCGTCTGCACTTTGTCCTGAAGTTTGACTTTGACTTGGAACAACTGATAGTGAAAATCCACAAGGCCCAGGACCTCCCAGCCAAGGACTTTACAGGAACCTCAGATCCATATGTTAAGATCTACTTGTTGCCAGACCGCAAAAATAAACACCAGACAAAGGTGCACCGCAAGACACTCCACCCAGTGTTTGATGAGGTGTTTCTCTTTCCTGTGGAGTATGCTGAGCTGTCTAGCCGCAAACTGCATTTTAGCATATATGACTTTGACAGGTTCTCTCGCCATGATTTGATTGGCCAAGTGGTGGTGGACAACTTCCTGGATCTTGCCGACTTTCCCCGGGAGACAAAACTGTGCCGGGATATACAGTATGTAACCTTGGTGAGTTACTCATATTCCCTTAAATTCTATCCCAACCCATCTGTGTCTTGTTCTCATTAACCACACTGATATACGTTTTTTTTTTATTGAGCTATAATTTTCCTTGTCCATTGATAACCCCTCTCCAGCACCCCTTCCCTCCAATAAAAAAGGAGAAATAAACTAACTAACCCTATTACAACAACAATGGAGTTAGAGAAGAATTTTGGTTGACTTGTTTCTCATTGACCCGCCAAGTGGAACTCATCTGAGGTTTCAGGAAGCAGAGACATAGAAATATACTTAGACACAGTTAATTTTTAATGAAAGCAGTGGGAAACACTTGGGATAGTGACCCAGATCTACACTGACATTAGACCAGGATTGGTATGACAGAGATACAGCGACATCGTCTGTATGACATTATTCACTTGGATAAATCTACAGTGTTGGAACACTGTGTATCTCAGTAAATAAGTAAGATTCCCTGCCAGGGAATCCTCTTGGTATACCTGTCTTTTCAAGTGGAGATTGCAGTCAGATAGGTCTCAGTATGTGAAAGAAAGTGTTCTTTTTCTTTTATGGGCAAACAGTTGCATTTGACTGTATAAAGTGGAGATAAACATGATCAAATATGTTATATGTGTGATATAAGAGCAGATTAACTATTGAATTCAATATGTTTATGTTAAATGTCATAAGCTATGTTCAAGATACATTACTCAATGAACAACATATTTTTGAAAAAATCTCACACAGCAGTTCTTCAACCATGTTTTTCCAGACATTGATGTCACGAAAGCTTCAATTTTAATTAATTCAGATGTCTACATAGGCTGCATTGAAGGTGCTATTGTATTGAAGCGTCCAATCTCTTTCTTTATAATGTGTATATGGTACATTTTATAACCTCAGTGGCAAAAGGTTTGAGTTTAAAAGTGTGGCAAAAATCGTAGTAAATGCAAATAGTTGACATTGTTTTCCACAATCAGGTTTCTAATTTATAGAGTTGTTGGAATATGCAAGTAATAGAGAGCTGGAGCTAAAATAGATTAAACAACATAAAAACATCATACTGTAGTCATTTTCACATATTATATTATACATGTTTCATGTTGGTGCTTTTTATTAGTAAATCTGGATGCTTGGTTGGAAAAGCATAATGTTCTGAAGAAAATATGAACAGTGGCACTTTCATTGCTTATAACATAGACTGATATATATCATACTATATTACATCGGATTATGTAAAAAAAAATCTGTCCACATAAACTGAGGATATAATATTGCACCTAACTACTTCACTCATTTAGATAACCAGTGTCAGAAATAAAACATCTGAAATAGCCTCTTAGTTGTCAAGATTAAAGAAAACGTCTGAGCTGTCCTCATCTTGGAAAGAACTACAAACTGATGACAAAAGTGCATACTGTGACATAAGACTAGAAGTAACCAGTGTGGAAAAAGATCTCTCTGTTCCACTTATTTTTCATATTCTTCACTTGTCTAGAGGACTGTAACTTAAAGTTGGCTCTTCATCCAACATTTACCTTTCTATAAATTGGTAAATGTGTCTATGGATGTTGTATCCTTTGTTCAGGTGTGTCATTTGACTTTAGCTAAGAGAGCCCTTAAAATGTTTCAAAGCAATAGAAATCTGTTTCAGGAGCTCACATGGTGCCTGTTCTTTTAGAGACTTTGCAGCATACAACAACAACAACACAGCTTCTTTTCATCATGTAGCAAAGTTCAAAAACAGAATATTATGGTTTGCCTCTTAATACACACACACACACACACACACACACACACACACACACACACACAAATGCATGCAAAGAAAGGGAGACTTGTTGTTTGCTTAGAATTACTGTTCCAACACCTTCCACACTTACCAGCTAAATAAGGTCAGTGTAAATGGGTTAGAACCTCCTCTGAGATACCCAGCTTGTGATCTATTGCCATCCTGTCTCCTGAGGTAACATCTCTTGAGTACACTCACTAAATATAATCTTTAATTAATCATCAATTTACCCAACACAAACTGAAATCAGCAATGCAAACTACTGGACATGTTATTCCTTTTCCTCAGGCAGCTTGTGGATGTATTCTTTTAGAAGAGGGAGAATACACTCACATTAGGCAGTCTTAGTTTCAGTTGGGTTTTAACTTTTGTTCTGGCATTGTACCAAAACTTCACTCAGTATTCCTAAAAATTCAAACCTCCTCATCTGTATCCTTACCCCCATTGTCACACACGTACATTTTCTATGGATGTATCAAATAATAAAATAAATGAGGTATTTAGTTGATGATTAAATAAACTTAAAGGAAATGGAGGGTGGGGTTATCACTATGTATCAAGTTGTGTGTCACAAACAAGTTGCATTATGTCCCCTTGAACCCTTTGCTTTTGCTTCTCTAAAACCCTAAATACTGCATAATGCATGTCCAAATACATCAGATTATTAACTTATTATTTACCAATGTAGATCTAATCATGCTAGCACTGTTATGCTAACAGTGATAAAGACCAACACGTTTTTTTTTGTACTGGACTGCAGGCATATAATATGTGCCAAATAATAACTGAACAATAAGTGTTGTTATCATTTTAGTCCCAGTTCTATTCAAACTAGTTCTTCTGTAAGTGAGGTCTTAAAATAGCCTATTAAAAAATAAAATAATAATAAAAGTGTTATACATCTTTCTTTTACCATTCCATAAAAAAACTAGGCTACCTCTCTTGGGATTATAAGGGGGGGACAGGGTGTGTGTGTGTGTGTGTGTGTGTGTGTGTGTGTGGGGGGGGGGTCAAGTCTCCAGTCTGTGTGCATTAATCATAACTACTGGTACAGAGTGAGCCTCAAACACTCACAGCCATATGTACTGTAATATACACATATGAGCTGCATGCTGGTAGATAAATCAATAAGCTGTTTCCTGTTGTGCATAACTAGGTGAACTGAGATTTTCCTAACATAAATAGTGTCTGAACTGGTTACTGTCTTGTCATTAGTTGTTAAGAGATTTAGAATTAGTACGGGCCTTTTGTCAATTTTAATAAGCTTCAATTCGAGGATTGCCATGGCAAGATTCTTTCTCTTTCCATGCTGAAACCATTACTCCCTATAGTGATGTACCACACACCAACAGATAATGTAACCATACTTCAGAGTCCTTATGTTTCTCTGCCAGGGCAGGAATACAGCTTGACTCTGATCTTAATGCTCATGAAGCACCTATAGTTCCATTAAGAAATACAGTCTTTACACACTATTTGTTTGACTTAATGGAAGAATTGTTCAGGATGCCTTATTTCCTTGTTGGGCAAAAAATAATAACAGCAATGACAATAGTTTATCTTTAGGATCAAAGTGTAGCCCTGGGGAGGAGCCAAGCTGACGCTAACTCATAAAGTCAGCAATATAGACTTATTTATTAACTACATTAAATTCAATTATAGTTCAATTAAGTCTCGATTTTAGGATCACAAATGTTTCAAAACATATAAATATAGATAAGCGCCTCTTTGAAAACCCCTTTTCTTTCAGGGGGGTTTTTGTTATGCATTTTTTAGTAGTTGATGTGTATTTGAAATTGGATTTTACAGAAATGTCTTCTCAATATAAATACTTCATACTTGGAAAGTTGAATAGATGGAAAATATACAAATGTTAAAAGAAAGTGAGGGGCTTTTGGCCTTGGATGGCATTTTCAAGGTTAAAATGAACTAAAAACCCTTGTTTGGACAAGAAAAACAAATTATTGAGGTGGATATCTTAGATATTTTACTTAATTAAGTATTACTGAAAAGAGATAACCTGAGCTGGTTACCTAGTTATAAAAGTAGAACATGATTTGAATAAAAGGCAACAAAAAGTAAAAGGACCTTATTTAAAGAATATGATTCGAAAGAATGACAGTACAAGTTGATAATAACTAATGTGTTTTTGTTCCTCTTTTTGTTTGACTCTAACCAATGTTCTTTTTCACTATTTGAATTTGAAACACAAGGTGCCCTAATGAAAGGGTAAGTGAAGACACCCCTGATCCAAATGAGCTCCTTTGTCCTACTGATGAGTTACATAACCTACCTTAACCGCATCATACCCACACATAAAACGTTTATATCTAATTATCCTATCACAGGCCATCACAGCCCAAACAGCATTGACAATTTCACCCAGGCTCTGTACATGCAAGCTCCAGGTCTTAAATCTCTATTGTTGGAACTTCAATAATAGTCCATGTAAAATTGAAGCAGCATAATTATTGTTAAAGTAGACTCACTACTGAGTCCTTATGTTATTATCACTGATAATTTGACTTTACATGCAGTCATTAATCATTATGATCATCTACTTACACGCATTATTTCCTGAGATGTTCACACTATCTAATAAGCCGATGGATAGTCCCTTCCTTTCCTAGCCCCTCTTTTTGCAGACATATTGTGTTTAATGATTATGGAGTATCAAGGGGAACCTGGTTGATTCAATTGGTTTTTGGTCATCTGTCATGTTGTCTGATGCTTGTTCCTTCTTTTCCTGCAGCTGAAGATCTTTTAGAGAAAGACAATGAAGATTGTTAAGACTGCAGACTGCAGCCACTGCAGGCCTAGTCAGTACTATTGACTGTGTTCAAGTCGGCCTTTAATTGGGATCTTGATAAATGGAGTGTGTGTGTGTGTGTGTGTGTGTGTGTGTGTGTGCGTGTGTGTGCGTGTGTGTGTGCGTGTGCGTGTGCGTGTGCGTGTGCGAGTGAGTGTGTGTGTGTGTGTGTGTGTGCATGTGTGTGCATGTGTGTGTTTTCGTGTGTTCGTGTTTGTGTGTGTGTGTGTGCGTGTGTGTGTGTGTGTGTGTGTGTGTGAGTGTGTGTGTGTGTGTGTGTGCGAGTGAGTGTGTGTGTGTGTGAGTGTGCGTGTGTGTGTGTGTGAGTGTGTGTGTGTGTGTGTTTGTGTGTGTGTGTGTGTGTGTGTGCGAGTGAGTGTGTGTGTGTGTGTGTGTGTGTGTGTGTGT